AATAAATAAAAATAAATAAATAAATAAATAAATAATAATAATAATAATAATAATAAATTAAAAAGTAAAAATAAAATAATAATAATAATAAATCAATTAAAAAGTAGTAAAAAATAAATAATAAAATTAATTAATTAAAATAATAATAATAATAATAATAAATAGAAATAAATAAACAAAGAAAGAAAGAAAGAAAAAGAAAAAAGAAAAAAGAAAGAAAGAACAAAGAAAAAAGAAAGAAAAAAATAAACAAAGAAAAAAAGAAAAAAGAAAGAAAAAAAGAAAAAACAAAGAAAGAAAAAAAGAAAGAACTGCTATATTTCTTGTACCATTGCAAAATGTAAACTATATTAGAGCTCAGCTTTAATCTGATAAATGTGACTATAAGGCATATACATATTAAGATATTCTAAACATTAACATTGTGATTTTAAAGCAGCTTTGAAACATTTGTATTGTAAAAAAGAGCTATACAAAATTAGACTTGAATATATTGTAAATATTTAATATGCAGTTTAAAAAAAAAAAAAACTATTTACAATATATTCATCAAATATTTGCATAGTGCTTTTCACAGTACAAATGGTTTCAAATGTTGTATTTGAGTGCAATAAAATGCAATTATTACTTCAGATTCAGCACACCATAGATGGAAGATCAAGCTCTGTTGTACACTGCACATTCTCACTTTGTGCCATGCCATCTACACAGAAATACATTTAATCAAGAGTCATGTTTTGTCAAAACACTTTAACATTACCATTTGTCCGTGAGGTTTGCGGTCCTGAAAGAAATGTGAAAATGGCATCTTCCCTGCCCCCAATACCGTGGCTACATTGCCTTTAAAACCGCCTTGTCACTTAACACTCAGATGTCTCTACCAATTAACTTTAAATACTTGCATCCATCAATGGCTGCTTCTGAAACTGAAGGCTCAAGCTAGCAGCCTACACAGGCAAAATGTTGCAAGATATCTTAAGCAGTATACATGCTGCGTTCAAAATCCAACCAGACAATGGCATCTTAGCAGACATGATGTTACTCAACACTATATTCAGCTATACCAATATAACAGCCTCCCATCACATTCAGGGTTTATTACGTATTATACATCGAGATCACATCAGACCAATTTAGCAGCTAACAGATATGCAGGGGGCCCAAAATTTTTGCCTAAAATATTTTGCCTATGTCACAAGAGGTAAATCCAGCCCTGATCACGCATTTGTATTTGCACGGTTTCTCAAGAAAAAAACATTGAAGTGGCTATTGGCATGAATGGGACGGGCAGATGAGCTTCCCCAAAATAACTCCATCTTGTTAAATCTCAGCCAGTTTGCAGTGGGAAAAGGTGGGGGAAGCTCACATTCCTGAGATACTTGCTCTATAGGCGCGTGGAAATAGGGCTTGAGAAAGGATCTACCTTTAAAAACAACCTTCCGCTTGTACTCTTGACAAACAACCGCTTGGAGACCAAAAACCTGACTAGTTAGTGTATTTGTGAGATCATGCACCAAGTTGACTCCAGCCTTGGTGTTTAGAGAACTATCTGCTTTGGCGGTGGTGTTGGTCTGTCACCTTAAAACCAGCCCTTGTAATAAAATTGCTTATCTTCTCGCCAGGACATTCCTTGGGATAATGTTTTTAATCTTTTACACATTAAACTCTTAATGGCCTGTAATAAATTCCACACATTCTCTCGGAGCAAAATACTGGACTGCTTTTCTTTTTTAATGAAGTGATAGAGATTAAACCATCTTTCTCGCAGTCGTTCAAAACCGTATGCATTTCGTTCTTCTGCATAAAATAAAAGATGATATTTTGAAGAACACTGTGGCACAAACAATACTGAACAGCACTGAATTTCACAGTGTTGGGGAGTAACTAGTTACATGTAACGGCGTTACGTAATTTAATTACAAAATAAATGTAACTGTAATCAGTTACAGCTACTAACAAAAAATGTGTAATTAAATTACAGTTACTTATGAAAATGTTAACGATTACAAAGGGGATTACATTTTACTATTTACACACTTCCACATACAGATTTAATTGATTTCTTTCCTGAATTGCCCTGATTATTCTGAGACATACGGCCCTATAATTTCCGCGATGCGGAAAACACAGACTGGTTCGTAGAATCCAGTCGTAAAAACGGAATTCCTATAGCCTAATGCGGACGGAATATGCCACATTTTGGACGAATAAATAAAAAATGGGTCAGTACACTTGAATCAAAACGCGATATGGACTAGTGTCTGTGAATGTTAAGCCGCAAAAAGACAATATATAAATCCTGCACGTTCTGCGTGTCTGTGGAAATCAGGCGCGGACTGGCCATCGGGAGAACCGGGACAATTCCCGGTGGCCTGGCAGCCGATTTGGCCCGCTATTTTAATATTATTATTGTATAATTGCCTGCCGAATGTACTAAAGCGATTATTTCCGAATTCGCCATTCAATAATTAAATCTCTAATAAATCATGAATCAGTTAGTTGTGACTGGCAATGCTTCGGCACGCGCGCCTCTGCCAAACGGTTTGGATCATCAGATTAATCAATTAGTGATGTCCGGTTCGCGAACGAATCGTTCGATTTAACCGGTTCTTCTTAGTGAACCGGTTGAACCAGTTCACCAAATCGGACTGAATCTTTTGAGTGGCCTGCCAGCCGATTTGTCCCGCTATTTTAATATTATTATTGTATAATTGCCTGCGGATGTACTAAAGCGATTATTTCCGAATTCGCCATTCGATAATTAAAGCTCTAATAAATCATGAATCGGTTAGTCGTGACTGGCAATGCTTCGTCTCGCGAAGTGGGTTTCAAGTGCAGGTCAGTTTCATCTGTAAATATGATAAAATTATAAAAAAATATTTTTTTCTTTGTTTACTTAGTTAAGCAGCAGCAGCCCAGTGCTCATCAGTCATCACTCAAAATACTGTATAAAGGACATCATTATTATCTATTGTAATGTTACAGTAGTC